ACACCACTAAATATTTACAGCCTTCAAAGGAATGAATGGCATCCAATAATATACACAATCCACATTCCCATTTTGAATAAAGAAAAAGAAAAAGATCAAATATTTGAACAGAACAAAAGCATGTTCAAGGAGGAATTGAAAAAGCCATGATCAAGAACAGCAATAAGGGCACCTTAGGAGTCCATTCTCGTTGCACTCCAAACACCTTTTCAAACACCCTTCGTCCTCATCAAACACCTTCCGACTGCCACTGCAATTTTCGCACGGCATAAACCTCGCATCCCCACAATGCTCACACACGAAGCCGGGTTTCAGATTGGGGAAGCCTTCCAGAATGATCTTCGCCAGTTCCCCAGTCTCGAACAAGTGCTTGATCACCTCAGCGCCACCTACATACTTTCCTCGCACGAAAACCTGAGGCAGCGCCACATGGCTCTCGCCCAGCGCGCGCTGCAGCTCCTCCCTGTAAGCTATGTCCATCGACACGTCCCTCTCGTCCACCCAAACCCTAAACCCCTTCAGGATCATGCGCACCGCGTTGCAGTCCTCGAACGTCCGCCGAACCCCGCGCAGGCTCGTTAAATACACCACGATTCGCTCCTCCGTCCCGGACAACCGAAACGGCGTCGTCGTCGTCGTCGTCGTGCACGAGTCCCAACGCGCTTTTGATTCCGATTGGGACTCCGATTCTGGAGCCTTCTTCGAGGAGGACTCGAACAAGGTACAGAGCTTCCTCACCATTTTCCCGCGGATTGAGGTTTTCGCCGACTCAGCGGATCCGTAGAACCGATTCAGCGAACCGGACCGGTCCAGACTCTGCTGGCTCTGAGGAACGTAAGGTTTCTGCGAGTGCTCAGAATGAATCGTGTTCGACCGGTTGAAGAACGGAAACCGCGACATCTTCGACAAATTCGACACTCTCCGAGCTCCTGAACGCAAAAAATCGAAAGAATTTAGCGTTAGTTTTCGGAAATTGACTTTGAAATGCTATAATTTTCATCATCTGATTCGAAATTGATTCAATTCAAAATCATTTGCATTTCCTGAAGCGAAATTTTCTCAAAATTACGTTTTCCGGCAGCTGATATTTCAACGCGGCTTCATTTTAACACGAATTAGAACATTTCAGGGTTTCTTTTTGAGGATTTTCCATGTTCAATCAGAAATTACAACCGAGCTCGAATTACAGGGATGAGAGTTTAAAAGAAAACGAAAGAAAGAAAAAAAAA